CTTGAACTTTCCTACAAACCTCCACAACTCAACAACCCTCAGAGCCCCAAAACTCTCACAGCCGCATGTGGCAACAAAACCACATACCAAGAGCCATCAAACCGATGTCTGATGATCTCAGCACAACTGCTGAGTTTATATGTAAGAATTTTCCAAATCTTACATCAATCCCAAATTCATTGTTGTATGCAAAGCGGTTGACCAATGAAGACTCCACCAATGATGCTTTCTTGGGCAATTCGAGACAGCCAGCCGTTGGTGATCACGTGAAGCTGATAGCGGTGTGGATGACTATTCCCGGCTCCGGCCGTGTTCAGAGCATCAAGTTGACCTCTTTCTCCGGCAACGATATTGGCTGGATCTGGAATGATCAGAAAGATGATATTCTTTCATTGATTGATACTGGAAGTGATGTCTTTGGCGTTGTCATCCGGAGCATCCCATTCCGCTGGGATGGTTTAACCTCTTATAACGGACTTGTGAGATACTTTAGCGTACAGGTTGGTACCTGTTCTGATTTCCATAATCTCACTGACACTTAGTAGCAGCCCAAGACGACCGGTACACACAAGCAGCTTGAACATGTATGTGTCTGCTTAACATATAATAGTTCAATTCACTGCTAATAGAGCTACATCTAGTCCAGTCACAACGGTCATGTGTCTGAGCGTGAGATGAGCAGTGCTGCCCCTGCCGGTCAGTCTGATTGCACATAATAGCTGGTACACCCGCTCCTTGTAATGCTAAGATCTTGGATGCACTTTCAAAGGCTAACACTAGTGATGCTTATCGCAGCGCAGCCAATGTGAAGTGCACCTCAAGGCATCTACTCTTCGATTCAAAGGTAATCATTGCAATCGCTGAATCAAATCTGACCAGTGTTCAATGATGGCTACCTCGCAAAAATTTCAGTAGAGTTTTCAGGCAATGCAACAGTCTCTGAGTCATACCTGTTTCCGGAAAATAAATGTGTTTCTCTTGATAGAGTGGGTAACACCAAGATGCGATGATAAACTCCGATGTTCATGCTCTCATAGTGCTTAGTACAACGGTGTATAACAGCTTTGACGCGCATGTTGAAGCTGTGATTGGCCAATATTGAGCAATAGACAGCACTGCTATCAATGTCCAGTCTTATTAAAAACCTTCACTCACAGTTAAAGCCTATCAATGCCTAGATATTGCAGGGGATTGTTCTAACTGGAGAACTGGGTGTTGCAAAGCAGTACAAACGGGTCAGAAACTGTATCCCAGATAAATCCTGCGCACCAGGGGGACAGATGCAGCTTGCCAGTTCTCTTCCTGCAATGCAGTAATAGCAATGGCACCGAGTGCTGACAATTAGTGACGGTTGTGGAACTATACCATCACCATCTTGCTATCTACTACGGCCACACGCGATAAGTGATGGTACTTCTTCCGGCGATGGAGTGATATCAGTGCCAACCGTTGCTGAACTATACCACCAGCAGCTTCATACTTACCATAGCCACATGCAATACTTATTGGTACTTTTCCATGCGATGATGCAAAAGTGGTAATAGTCATGGCTCACGACGGAATGACAAAGGAAGGGCCGGTCCGAGGATATGAAGAGTTGGGAGGCAGTGCACCGGCAGTGCAAGGATGATTTGCAGAGGATTAGGCATGTGTGCAGGGAGCAGGGATAGCGCAGGAATAACTTGCAGAGGATTGGGGCTGTGTGCAGGAAGCACGGATAGCACGGATACGCAGGGTATGAGTCACGGATGCGGGGGTACTGGCAAGGTGAATTTCTCAGGGTCTGGCACACGCCCACGGTCATTGTCAGGTTGTGGGAATAAGTGGATAATTTCTTATATAAAGGGGCCGATGCCCCTCTGAACTTAGTTCTTCACGCAACAACTTGTTAATTCAACAACTGTTACCTCAATCCTTGCCTTGGCTGCCGTCTGCGCCGTAGTTCCTGTTCCCGCCCTTATTCCTCAGCTACCGTCTGCACTGAGTTCTGTCTTGCCTCGTCTTCGCGTCTCGTCTCCCCCTTGCCCAGGCCCGTTGCTGTTCATCTGTCCACAGGTCTTCGCTACCTGGAGCCCAGCCCGACCGTGCCGTTACAGTAATTGTTAGCACTGAGGTATACAGAAGGTTCCCAGCCTACACCTGATCAGCTTCCAGCGTGCAAAAGCCTCATGCATTATTTGCTGGTCATTACCTGCTGGTACTCCTGCCCACTACACCGCAAAAGTGGTACAAATAATACTGAACTGGTAGTAACGATTCTGAACTTGTATTACTTCCAGTAGTGTGCCGAACATGGCAGTGGGGAAAATAAAAGGTAAGTAGTAAATGTTAGTACTGCTTCTAGCAAGGCAGCGATAACAGTGGCCTTCGGTACGTAGCATGACTGATGACTGTGGATGAAATCAAGTATACTGGGAAACAACTATACCACTCGGCCAAAAAGTATTTTGTTAGCTAATGTCACGGCTGGTGGCGGAATGGCGAACGGTGGGCTGACACAATGATTGGAAATATTGTGAGGCAGTGCACTGGCAGTGCAGGGATGAGCCGCAGAGGATTAGGGCTGTGTTCAGCGAGCAGAGATAGCGCAGGAATGAGTTGCAGAGGATTGGGGCTGTGTGCAGGACGCAGGGGTAGCGCGGATGCGCAGAGTATGAGTCACAGAAGCAGGGTACTGGTAAGGTGGATTTCTCAGGGTCTAGCACACACCCACGGTCATTTTCAGGTTGAGGGAAGAAGTGGATAATTTCCTATGTAAACAGGTCGTTGCCACTCTGTACTTAGGTCTTCACACAACAACTTGTTAATTCAACAACTGTTACCTCTGTCCTTGCCTCGGCTGCCATCTGGGCCGTAGTTCCTGTCTCCGCCATTGTTTCTCAGTTACCATCTGCACTGGGTCCCGCCTTTCCTCGTCTTCGCGACTCGTCTTGCCCTTGCCCGCCCGGGTTTCTGTCCACCGCTCCACCCTGCCCACCCTGCCCATCCTCCTTGGGTCTAAACAAACAAAAAGTAGAAAGTAGATTGACAGTATATATTGGTGTGGGCCTACATATCCGCTCCTCCTGCTGCCCTCTCGCCTCTCTTCCCCATCTTCCCCCTTTCCACTCCAAGAAGATATCACTGTATATCCTCATCTCCTACTTCCTCGCAGCGGCCACAGACACAGTACCTTGCTGGGCACCCGTGCGCTACCCCTAATGCGATGCCTGCCTCCTCCTGATCCTCCTCCTGTAGGTCTGCTGGTGCTTTCCTCCCCACATCCGTCGTTCCTAGAAACTCTAAAATTGCCTCGCTGCACCGCTTATCGGCAAAAACTCTACTATCAACCACCTCTGTTTCCTTGTCTTCATTTCCTTCCTGACCTTTGACCAGAAGACTCTCTGTTGACTTCTCTACAGTGAGCAATTTTTGGCCAGAGATACTGAGAAGCGGAGTAGGGTTGAAAATGTTGAAAAACTATGAGTGAGTTCAATTGCTTGACTTATTCGCAAAACACAGCGGAACACCTGCTAGACATACCAGACAGAAGTAGAAGAAGAAGAAGTAAGTATGAGAATAACACGATTCCTTAGGCGTGCACTGGCATTGTGAGTATTACCAATATGAAAAATGTGCATTCATGTCCTGCACGAGTGATAACCAATGCAGTTCTGTCTAGAATTACAACAGGAAATGGAGATGTCGGACGAGTGCGTTTTTATGATATCTCGTTGCTAGCTTCTAGCGACTGGATGTGATCATTAACGCCATCCGGAAACACCCAGGAGCAGCGATGCGTGAGCGTGGCAGTAGATATGCATACCATGGTATAATCCGGCAGAGAAACGCATGTAGCAGCAGCCAGCCAAGCAGCAGCAAATGACCGGCCGCAAACCAAGAGCGGTTCCGCAAATCTGGTGTGTGGTTGAAACACCACAACCCTCGCGTGCCACCATTCGTTTTGTGGCGTCTGCCGTATGCACCGTACGGAGCTGGAGATGTGGCGATGCTGAGCGCTGGGATAACTAGGCATTACCTACTTGATGTATGTAAGTAGGAAGTATGTGCTTCGTCGACTTCGCCGCTGCCTAATCAGCCCCGCCATCCTGCCGTCTATGGCGATCGATATATGTACCGTATGTACCGACATATATACCACTCCACTTCTGGTTGACTAGCTTCACCAGAATACGACGATGCGCTGGCAGCACTGCATGATTCTCTGCATCGTTACCGCGGTTTTGGATGTTCTGCTGAGTGACATTCTGGCCAGTTATATGTATGTACTGAGAGACCTCCGACGGGTACGGGCAACTGGTGAGACTGATTGCATTAACCAGAAAGCAATAAGAAAGAAAGCAGCCTATGTTCTTCAGGCCGAACAACCTATAGTATCTCCGTTATGTCGAATACTTGAAGTAATAATGCCTGCGGTGGTAATAATGTCTTATGTGTCATGTTGAACGACAGAGGCGAACATAAAAGCAGCAATAGATAACATCTCAACGTCGAGGCGACCGCATCGGGTCTGGCCCCGAGCCCCACAGTACTTATTCATGCTGCTTATTGCTGACTCGTATTGTTCGATCGGAAGCGAAGTGCTAAGTTGCGCAGGAACCGAGTTCCCCCAGGTTCATCCGGGTGCCACGTTTCTCACGGCAATATTCAACATCAAGTGCCGGGCCTACTGATGACTCTGGAAATGTTGCTCGCTGGGGAAATGGATGAGATCTCTTGGCGGAGTGTCGGCGGTGCATAACACATCCATGTCACGAATTATCACTTGACCCCGTGACTGTGCGTTTATGGCTGGGAGCTGAGACTGAGGCCAAAACGTCACTAAGGTGCGTAGCAAGCGGCTATACGATGGAATCGGATGGCCTTATCGTCGTGTTTATCTCGTGCGTATCTTCGTTTCCTCACAGGGCCAGCACGTTGCAGAGATTAGGTACCATCGTATTGTTCCATCCCCACCACTCGCGCCCAAATCTCAAGGTATCCACAAGCATTACACCCACCTACGCCGAACTCCTCTGACCATCCACATCAATTAAGCTAGCCTCAACACTAACCGGCCCACCACCAACACGAGTCATGATAACTCTCGTGATCCCCTCTTTCAGCGGCTCGAGGAAAGACGCATCAAGGCCCTCGACACCAGCTGCGGTGACATCCTGCTTCCATCCGGAAACACCGTCCAATCCTCCCTTCAAGCTGCCGAGGACGATGTCCTCGTTCTCCTCCAGGTAGTAGATGACAGCATTTGGGCCCGCATCGAAAGTGTAGGCGGCGACGTTCTTACCGGCGAGACGGTTGATCTCGTCGACGACGCGGATGCAAGAGCGGCTGACATCGTTGAGGTAGAAGATCGGCGGGCTGGTGTCGAGACACACCGCGTGGAAAGAGTTGCTATCCGCCATGGTGAGGGCCGCGAACTCCTCAAAGTCCCGCTTTTCGATCGCGCGCTTCATGGCCTTCATCCTCTGCGGCACGACAATCTTGACGCGGTGGGGGAAGAGGGCGGAGGTAACGACGGTAGCCTGCATTCCCGCGGTGGACGAGACACCCTTCTTGGCAGCGGAGACGACCAGGATTGCGGCGCGCATCTGCGGCCAGTGCGAGGCCGGCGCGACCTCGAGCGCGAGCGAGTCGCTGCCGTCCTCTAACGTACCCTGCTCCCAGCTGACGTAGCCGCCGAAGAGACTGCGGCATGCCGAGCCGGACCCCTGCCGGGCGATCCGCGAGAGTTCGGTGGGGTTCTGCGGGAGCTGGTAGAGATCGGCGATGGCGCGAACAAGCGCGGCGAAGCCAGCGGCGGACGACGCGAGGCCGGCGGCGGTGGGGAAGTTGTTCTCGCTGACGATCTTGAGGGAGAGGGTGGAGAGCTTGGGGAGGGAGGAGTCGGCGGATTCGAGGGCGGCACGCAGGGCGCGGAGTTCCCGGAAACAGGCTTGTTGCCGCGCGCCGGAGACGTCTTGAAGCTCGCCATTGAGTGTGAGGGTGTCCTCCGTGAAGAGAGCACTGCAGGCAGCGGTCGTGTGCGTGCGAAGGTTGTCTTGCGAGAGGGTTACGGAGAGAGAAGAGTTGGTGGGGAGGTTGAGCTTCGCGTCGCGTTTGCCCCAGTACCTGGGGGTGTTAGTTGGGCGATGGTGGGGGTGGGGGCGGGGGCGGGGGCGGGGGCGTACTTGATGACAGCGATGTTGACCGGCGCCGTGGTCGAGGCGGCGTAGATCTTTGTGTCAGCCATTGATGTAGTGGTGATGGAATCGAAGCCGTTGATGTTTGGGAGGGATGACTTCTGGACGATGGTGGGGTTAGGTGGATAGCTATTGAGCTTCTTCGTGCTTCGTTCGTCGTTTCGTGAGATGGGTATTGAAGGAACACAACACGACGCGATTCGGGATTGGAATGGCAGCGGCGAGGTCAATTCACCGCTCCAAGAAATGCCGCCCCCTTTTTATTTCCTCAGATCCACTTCCCACGATTCCCTTCCCGACCACCTTCCCCGCCTCCCCAGCCCAACCAACCCATTCCTCCCTCGCACGCTAGCCTCCTTGCCAAGCCGCGCTTGAGCACTGACCGCATCTTCTTTCCAAGTCTTTTCTGACAACAAGTCCGCCACTTCACGATACAGCTCCGTCCACCTAAGACACCAATGAGCGGCTCGAAAGACACCACCATCACCCCGGAATCGGCCTGCCCTGTGGACCCAGCCGCACGGAGCAGATGGAGCTCCCTCCTCAGCTTCGGCGGCGGGAGCAGCAGCAGTAGTACCTCCCCCACCACCCCGCATACATCACCAACCCCCACTGCCGGCACCGCCGCCGCCGAAACATGTCCGGTCGACCACACCGCACGGGAAAAATGGGCGTCACTCGGCAAGAACAAACCCACGCCAGGTGTTCTTCCCGCCAACCACCCGAAACTCGACAGCACACGCGAGACGTCGACGATCCCCCGCGCGGCCGTCACCACTCCCTCCAACAGCGAGCACGTCGGCGTTGACCCGACGATATACGGCGCGCCCACGGGCAACTGGATCTACCCGTCCGAGGAAATGTTCTTCGCCGCGATGAAGCGCAAAGCGTTTGACCCGAAGGCGGCGGATATGCGCTCTATCGTGCCGATTCACAATGCCGTCAACGAGCGGGCGTGGAAGGAGATTAAAGAATGGGAGGCGGGCTGGGGCAGTGACAAGTGTGGCGGGCCGAAGCTGGCGAGCTTTGCGGGCGACTCGAAGAAAATGACGCCGAGAGCAAGGGTCAAAACACTCCTGGGGTATCATCCGCCGTTCGACAGACACGATTGGGTTGTGGATCGCTGTGGAAAGAAGGTGGAGTACGTTATCGATTTCTACTCGGGAAAGCCAGATCCTCGACAACCAGAAAAGGTGTCGTTTTATCTGGACGTAAGGCCGAAACTAAGCATAGAGGGGGTGAAGATGAGAACTGCGAAGTGGGTTGGGTCGTGGTTCTGAGGCAGGGGACGAAGGCAGTGTACGATAGATATCTCAGTGGGCATGTGTACCATATTCGCGTGAAGTAGGCTTGACGAAGCCGTTACGAATCTTGCTTTAAAACCTGACCAAAAGCGACATAGATATAATAATAAAGCGCAAGTAAACCAAGTGGAGCCCCTAGACTGCCTATTTGGTATCAAAGTACTCCTCACACCTCTCCAGCAAATCCGCTTTCTTCCCCTTCGTGTCCAATCCAACTCCCTGCAAAAACTCCCTCAGCTGGACGACGGTGCATTTTACAAGCTGCCCCTTATCGTACATCGCTCTCAGATCCGTACCGGATTCTGCCTTTACCCTCTTCGGCTTCGGAGGTGCTGCCTCTCCAGCCTCCTCTTTGACCCTCTTCGTCCCCTTCTTCTCGGCCATCGGCGGCGGCAATCCACCAGCGGAATTCATCAACTCCTGTCTCCACTCCAGAACCAAATTTCCAACATGCCTATCGATAGCCTTATACTTCGGCACCGTCCTGTCGAGCAGATGCTCTGGCATATCCTCCTCCAGCGCGATGGCCTGTAGGATACGGTAGTGCCATTGCAGACTTGGGTTTTCGTATTTCTCTGGCTCGTATCCCTTTGGCATGTGCAGCTGCTTAACGATGGCGCGCATGCGGTCGATCAGTGCGGCGGAGGCTCTGTTGGAGGGAATTTCGGGGTTCGCACGGATATCGTCTGCGAAAGGGAGATGGACCATGTGGAAGCCTGGTGGCTGCAGTTGGCGCTCACTTACGGGGTCGATTTTTTCCAGCGAGGGGATGAGACAGCAGAGGCTTGGTGGGGAGTTGCGGCGGGTGATGGCCCACACCAGCGCTACTTTGTCAGACGCGGCAAGCTTGTTCAGGAGAGCGGTGAAGGTGCGGGTCGAGCCGACGTAGTCCTTTTCGTCCGGGTAGACGAATTGTGCGGGCTTTACGTTATAGTGGAATTTCAGCGCGGCGGATGATTTGAAGCCGATTATGCGGATCCCCGGGGTGCCGAAGTTGCGCATCGCCTTCATTTCTTCCTCCAAGAAGACGATCTGCTCGCCGCCGAATTTGTATGCCTTCTGGATTTCGGTCTTGACGAGAAGCTGGGCGGTGAATTCGGCGTGGAAAGTAGTGGTGCCTTTCACGATCTGGGCTTGCTCGCCGCCTGTGTAGATGTAATGCGATCGCCCCTTTTCTTGTTTCTTGTAAAGGATGTACCCCTTGACGCCGATGCTGAGTCCCGGGCCGATCTCGAGCGTGGTGGAAAACTGTGATCGCTTTGCTGTGGCTTTGGAGCGGATGGTGCTGATCATCTCCTTCAGCCTCGTCGTACCGCTGGCGGTAACAGGCAGCACCCTATCCTCCTCTTCATCGGAATACGCAGGGCGGTAGATGATATCGTCGTAGAATTTCCCGGGATCGAACGCCGACTTGCGGCCGGGATTGGAGATGTAGAACGGGTCAATCTGTACACCGAGGTCGTACAGATCCCTAGCGCGGGTGATGGCGCTGTTCTTCAGCGCCTTGTCATTTGCGTGGGGATCGTCATCGTCAGTGATCAAGAACAGCTTCCGGCTCTGGAAGTTGGCAGCTTTGGTCGTGAACGTCTGGTTTGCACCGAAGAGGACGTTCGCCATCGACACTGTCTCTCCGCAAGGAACAAGAAGTTCATCGAACGCGTCGTCGTCCTCAAGCAACGTCTTCAGCCGTTTGATACTCGCCACATCTGGAACGTCGAGATCCATCAGAAGGTACATATGTTCGAACCCTGCGCCGCCGCCTGTGAAGCTTGTTTCTTTTGTCCCGAAAAGCAAGATCCCCATCATGTCGTTTGGATTCGAGATGATCCGCGATTGCAGGATGGAGTAGGCGCATTCCAACGCGGTGCGTACGGCGGAGGTGCGGGGCGGCGTCGCTTTTTGGGGGTTGTCATCAGGAGATGGGGTGTGCTCTGCTAGCATGCTTGGGGAGACGTGGATCGCGAAGAGAATGGCATCTTTTTGGTCTTTGTAACGCTGCGATGAGCCGTTGAATTAGCTAGAGTTCTGACGGGGAGAAACAGTGGCAGTTGCATACCGAGACGTCCTCCTCCTCTTCTTCCTCATCAACCTCGTCGTCTTTGGGGGACCATTTTGTAGAGCCAGACATGGTGAGTTAAGGACTAGTAATGGAGCGGAGTCTCTTTGGCGTGTTCGAAGGCAATAGGGAGTACTGAGTGATGGGGAGCAGAGTGATTAGGAGCACAGAGTGATAGGGAGTACAGAGTGTTGCTGATGGCGTATGGGTTATAAGAGAGAAGACGCGACGCGACGCGAGCTGATCACCATCAAAAGAAACACGTGAAGTCGCGTTGACTCACACGCACCCTTGTCCAGTCTTGGCACCAAACTCATAGACCGTCATGTGTGCTCTAAACTGCACTCGACCATACTCCAACGAGTATCTAACGCCGCCTCGAGAGTCAAGACTGTTTGCCGCAGGAGTGGTTCCTTTGATGGCTCAATAATGTGCGCGGATGGAAGGGTATTTAGTGTTCCCTCCATGTATTGTCACTCATTTCACTCCATCCAATCAAGCGACATTCGAATACCCGTATATGTGAGAGGGGGATGCTGCGGCGGCTCGAAGAGGAGGAGGCTTCGGAGGGAGGCGGCGGTGTGGATTAGGGACTCACGGAGGGTAGGACACAATTAAGGAAGATATGGAGAAGGAGAGAGTGCGCTACTATTCAGCAATCATCTATTCATTGGTTCTCTGTGCGTGGCGGTGAGTTGCTGCATGTGCTTAGGTCATTTCATTGTTTACGTGTAGTGTGTTGTCGCCGCCTCGCGGGTTCAACATTTTGCTATCAGCGAAACCACCAGGCAGTGGTCATGGCTCAGAGGTAGTGAATTTCCCAGGTGATGAGAAGATCCATCGGCTGTACAAGGCTAGCAACCTTGGTGAGGACGCTCTTTTGCTGCGGTTCAATACATGTTTCGGTTTTTATCTTTTTTGGTTTTCTATGGTAGTAACTACATGGCAGCTTAGTCGAGTGATCGTTTTGTGGGCGAACTGTCGACGAGTATCACGAAAACAGAGCCTACAGAAGCGGCTAAAACGGAAACTGCTGGGCCTCTCAGTGAAATCCATCTGCGCCACGGGTCTTCCCACCTCGATCTTATGGCAGTCTTCCAGCCGTATGAGTACTTGCAAAAATATGGGCATCCTCGGTGTAGTTTTAATTCTTTGCGTCTCCGTTATGGTGCTGCAGCCGTCTCATGTTATCTTTGTACTATTTAATCTAAGGTATTTTCTTTCTCCGGAGGACCGCCAGCCACCTGTATCAAGCGCGAGCTGAGTTCAACCGAGTGCTAGTCTCAAGCTAGGTATCAGGTCGAGCCCCATAAGCTTGTGCCTGCCAGGACCAAATTCCCCATGCCTGGGTGCGAAATAAAACAGGAAGATCTCTCTCTTTTCCTCAAGCCTGGGTTCGGTCCGAGTACATACTCACGAGTCGGTTCTCATGACTTCCCACCGGCCTAGAAATTCCAGAAATTCGAGATTCTCCGGCGCCACTGGGAAAGCAACTTGCTGGTCACATATGTTCAGAGCAAAACATGTGACAGCGAGCCATCTCAGCGGTCTGATTCGTTGGTTCTTGATAGTACATACATGGCTCGGTGGCGGATACAGAGCGAACGGACGCAACTGATCTACTAAGGTAGTTACATCGAGCAGTTCTTTCATTACCTCCACCGTATAGCTAGGTTACTATAAGAGTGGCTGTTATGGAATCTCGTTAAAGCCGCTTGGGGGCTCACTTTCGCAGATATCGCCCGTACAACACCCGTCTGGAGTCATCTACTTCAAACAACCACAGCAGCCACCATGCGCTCATTCTAGGTATGTATGGACTCCCAGGTTCAGCACCACCACAAAACGTTTGGCTGGTGGAATGATTTTTCGTCACTGTCATAGCCTAGAGGTAACTAGACGAGCGGGGTGAGGTTCGGGCTCCTCGATGATGACAGCAGGTGTTGTCTGCCACCGTAATGAGAGGAGCGCGGTACAGATGGTGGATAAGATCAGATCAGATCGATACGATAAGATACGATATAGCCTGTGAGGGATGGCTAACTTAGGCATAGTGATTGTCTGCTCTAAGGTAGATGTGGAATAGCGTCGAGAAGGTATGGATGAAGAACAAGGTTGAACCTAAGGAAAATTCAACGACGAGAGGAGACTATTTGAGGAAGTGAGGGAACGAGGTCGGAGGGAGACTCCGAGCTTTCAGCTGCAATTTCACCTTTGTTCAAGGCCGATTAACAGTTGGTTTTGGGTTTGTCTCCTCCTCCTCCACGTGCTCGGTGTTCCCTCGTATTGATGTGTTTTTCTCCGGGGTTGCAGAGCCGAATTTAACATGAGTACCGATATTCAACGCCGGAACCAGCAATTGATTTTCATCGCTGCTGGGTTCGGTGCTATGATGGCCGCAGGCGCGTATATGATTCATAGGTTACAGAAGGAGGCGGAGGAGCGTCAGAGGGAGGATGAGGAGTGGCTGAGGGAGGAGGAGGAGGGGTAGGAGGAGGAGGAGTGGCTGAGGGAGGAGGAGGAGGGGTAGGAGGAGGAGGAGTGGCTGAGGGAGGAGGAGGAGGAGGAGGAGGAGGAGTGGCAGTACGACAGTCCAACGTTGACCCACCGCATCGGGTCTGATCCTGGTTACACTCTCCCCACACCACTAGGTCTATCCGTGCCGCTGCACGCCGCAACACCGAGACGCCTCGACCCCCACGCTCCCTCGCTTGCCAACCATCCCACCGCCCCACCAACTGCCGATCCGCAACACCCTCTACCAAACCATGAGCTCCGCACCCCCCCAGCCCACGGTGCTTCTCACGCTCGAGGGCATAGTCCACAACGCGCATCTCTTCAACGCGCTGCACACGCACGCCAATGTCTTCACGGTCAAGAGCAAGGCAGAGGCCCTCTCCTTCCTCGCCGCGCACACGCCACACGCCGTGCTGCTGACCGACGCGGCGCTCTCGACGGACGCGTACCGGGACCTGTGCGAGCGTCTGCACAGCTACGTGCTCAGCGGCGGGATCGCCGTGATGTGCAACGAGTTCAGCAGCTTCCTGAAGACGCCAGTGTTCAACCGGTGGATGTAGACGCGCTGGGGGTTGCCGTGGACGGTCGGCAGCTACCACCGCACGGACTTCTATCTCAACCGCGCCGCCGCCGCCGTCTGCCTCCTGCCCGGCTTGCTGCCAGTCTACTCGATGAAGGCGTCCAGTCTGAAGGGCGTCGACGCCCCCAGCAGGGTGTATCAGCCCGCAGAAGACTCGTTCACCCAGAGTAATGTGTTCGCGCCGGAGCGCGTGCAGGATCAGACGCAGGCCCCGGTGGCGTATAGGATGGTCGGCCGCGGCTGGCTGGGGTATGTCGGTGATGTCAACTAGGAAGAGGGCAGCACGGCGGTGATCCTGGCGATGTGCGGATTGGTCGATGGTGACTTTTGCTTCGTCTGTCGTGCTAGGGCGAGGCGGATATGCCGCTGATGGCCTGTGCGAGGTGCCACTATGCGAAGTATTGCTCCAGGCAGTGTCAGAGCACCGACTGGAGAAGGCACAAGCCAGTCTGTGCTGCGGTGGTTTGAGAATGATTTGGTTGGGCTGATATCACGTTGTGTGTCTCTTGTTTTACGGGTGCAATCGTCAAGTGGGCATAGAAATCAATGATGGTTTTTGCGCGTGGGTTTTACTGGAATCAGATACCCAGGTATTGCTCAGTTCTTGTAACCTGTAACCTGTGCCTTCGGTGACAAACTTCCAACCGCGCATCCGTAGAAGGCTCAGAGCGCAAAGCCGATCAGTACGTACTATCCTGAAGAACTGCCATATCAAAAGTAGTGCCAGCAACCGCGCAAGAAGCAGTGAGTGAAGACCCCGCTATCCCCAACCACTCGTACAATCGAGTGAGAAGACGTAGCCACCACCACCACCGCACAACCTCCGTAGGATCCCTGCGCGTAAAGTACCTGGTTCATAGTCCGGCCATCCTCAGAGCTAAGGAGCCTCGCAGACTAGGATAGTAGACAGTGTTGATACCAGCAATCGGAAAGCACGATGCCAGGAAGCAGCCCGACTGTCGAGCCGGAAGTGTGTACTCTACATACAATAGGTACATCTGTTGGAAACGTCTGGCAACAGTGTCGCCGTCTTCAATACGGATGAAGGTCGCTCGCGGGGGAACACTCTCGACTTTGATTCGAATTTCGAAATCTACTACGATTAGTATCTGCTTCGATCAAGCGGTAGGTATCGGTCTCCGAGGTATAGGTTGGTAGATGATTGCTTGCTGTATTCCCAAGAGACAATATAGCAAACATTCATGTTTCGATTCAGTTTTCAACAGACATTTGCATGTGCAGATGTGATGTGGCTGCAATCTGCAGTCTCCACCAGGTTAGATCCAACTTTCGTACCGGCTAGCGCTACCATCAAGCAATCCTCCGTGGCGCAATTGGCTAGCGCGTTCGACTGTTAACCCTGCAACCCGCGGAGTTCGGCGATCGAGAGGTTGGTGGTTCAAGCCCACCCGGAGGAGCTACTTTTTACTAGTCTTTTGGCCAATTTCCTTTAATACAAGGTATCTAACCAATCTATTTTTCACGTCGATGCAGGGCATCGTCTCGATCTCGTCTCGAAGAATTCATCCGAAGTTGCTGCCGGAGATAAGACGAAAGACGAAAGAGGCAGACGCGAAAGGCGGGGGCGGGGGGAGAGGGGGGGGGGGGGACGGACTGCTCGGCAGCTCCAACGGAACGGAACGGAGAAACCCGTCAGGCCGTCGCGCCGTCAGCCGTCACGCCGCGGGGCCGCCCCCGCCCCGCCCCCGCCCTCGCCCCCACACGAGGACTTGCACATGCCTGGACTCTGGAGAAGGCTGCGTGCGGCGTGCCCAGCCGTCAGCACTCAGCAGCCGGTTAAGCGAGACACGGTTTCGGGTCGTGGTACATAGAGTGCTTACTCTTACTCTGCACGCAGATGTACAGATGGAGAGCATGTGTGTTCACTTCACTTCACTCCACTTCACTGCTCCCCTCCCCTTCAAAACAGGCTCATCGCCGAGCATCGACATCGGCATCGACGGTGAAGTGATGAACTGGTGAACTGGTGAACTGGTGGCCCGGTATCTTTGGCCGAGACACACTGCACTAGTACTCTACATACTAGCGGGTGTGGGTGTGGGTGTGGGGTCTGTGGGTCTGTGCGCTGGTGGGTTGGTTGGCTGGTTGGCTGGTTGGCTGGCATCGACGATGATTCGGCGGCCGTGTGGATCCGGGGTGGATTTATGCACGTGTGGGACTCGGGGGGCCAGCCCCGATTCGGTCGCGTCAACGTTGAGAACTTGAGATGTTCTCTGTTGCTGCTTTTACATATGTTCGTCTGGTCGGTCGGTCTCTACAAGAGACACCAGACATACGACTTCAACATCGCGGAGATACTTTGAGGTTGTTTCTTTTCTTGTTTCTTTCTAAATAGTCAATGCAATTGGTAGCCCTAGTTGCCCGTACTCTATATACCCGTCGGAGGTCTCTCAGAAGTAACTAAGGCACCAGTAGGTGGGGCCCAATTCCCAAATGCCCCAGACCCCCCCTCCCCCCCTCTCCCCACACCCCTCTCCCCGGCTGACGAACGGTCCGGTCGTGATAGGAGTCTACCTACCTTGTACTAGTAGCAGTTGGTAGTCGCTCCAGCCTGCAATGTGCATCCCAGGTACTAACAGCGAGTCGTACGGAACAGCGAGGTTCCGATGGTTTGGTATAGTAGGTTCTGGTTATGATACATGTTACATTTATGCATACATGGACACTTTGTTTGAACTTTGGATGGCAGCTGCGAGGCAAGGAGGGCTCAGGGGAGGAATGGAGGGAGGGAGGGGGAACCGCTGCGTCGGATCGTTCGCTCGCTCGCTCGCAGTTAAGGTGCACTTCCGACACATGTTATGCATCGAGAAGCGAATCACGACTCACGACAGCGAGCTGTGTCGGATATGCACCTGCAACGGTATCCGACGACGTGGAGGTGGAGGAGGGGCCTCGAGGAGGGGAAAATGGAGGCAACTGCTGGAGTCTGGAATAATGTGGGTCCGGGGATAGGTAGGAACGTGAGAGGCTGGTGGACTCTCGAGTCGAGTGGAGTGCGAATGGCCGCTAAAGTCTGGGGTCTGGGGTCTGGGGAAACAAATCTGGGGTAGGTATTCAGGTGCAAGGCTACGAACGAGGCTATGTATGCTGGGTGGTGGAGAGCCAACGGCGCCGCCGCCTTCATGGGGGATAACTAGAGTGCTTACGTGGTTAGTTGGGTCCGCGCATTATCGGCCATAGACCATCACAGATAGCTGGCATCCCATTGGCGGTGCCAATCGGCGTTTTGTCTGCCGCGACCACGCATGGGGCAGCATTCGGTCCCAGCGCCGGTTGTGAACGATTATAAAGGTAGATACGGCGTGGGGCAGTGCCGGTCATGTCATGTGTCTCAGTCCTCTCGCTGCCTCTCTCTCTCCCTCTCTCTCTGTCTCGCAAAAGCCGTCATCGGATATCTACTCCCGACGCACGGGGCGAAGATCCGCCCCAGCGCTACGGTGAATCCGTGATAGCTTTCCCCATACAATTGTGCCCAGCAACTCCGCAGGAGCGTAGTCCGTTCTCGGCTGTGCCGGGGGCTGCGGCGAGCGCGCTGGTGGTCGTTGGCGAGGAGAGGAAGTCTGGCGACGTGCATTGCCAAAGATGCCAGCCATCGAGGGGAAATCTACATAAATACGCTGCCGCCGCGCAAAGTGCAATATTCGCTTCCATCTTGTTCGTCACAGACACAGTCACACACGCCCAACAGCAGCCTGCCCCTCCCTCCTCCTCCTCCCCCTCCTTGTCCTTCACCATGGGCGCCGATCTCCCTGATACAATCCTCACAAACCTCTCGGTCGGCTTCTTCGTCCGAGGGGTGAAAGCGTACCCTTTCCACATTCTTGCCGGCATCATCGTGCTTCGTCTGCTCTACAACAAGTTCTGCCGCGGTATCACCAAGGTTCCCGGACCCGCTTTAGCCGCCTGGACCGGTCTCTGGCGGTTCGCCGACGTCAACAAGGGTGACGCACACAACACGGCCATCAGACTCCACAAGGAGCACGGAAAACTCGTCAGGATCGGTCCCAGCCATGTCTCCGTCAACGACCCCGCTGCCATCCCGGTCATCTACGGACTCAAGTCGGGATTCACCAAGGTATGCATGCATCACCAACCGTGCTCCCCGCTTCGCGTGCTGACCTCATCTCCGCAGACCGCCTTCTACCCCATCCAATGCATCAGCTGGAACAAGAAGCCGCAGATGAACCTCTTCTCCACCCGCGACGAGCAGTACCACCGCGACCAGAAGAAGCTCGTGGCCAACGCCTTCTCCATGACCGCACTTCTCGACATGGAGCCGTACGTGGACGCCTGCACGACGCTGCTGATGTCGCAGCTCGACTCGCGCACCAAGTCTGTCGACCTCGGCGAGTGGCTGCAGTACTACGCCTTCGACGTCGTTGGCGAACTCTGCTTCAACAAGAAACTCGGCTTCCTCGAGACCGGCGGCGACGTCGACGGCATGATGGGCACCATCGCCGGCATCCTCGAGTACGCGGCAAAGATCGGACAGATCCCAGAGCTCCACCACATCCTCCTCGGCAACCCGCTGTTCCCCATCCTCCTGCCTAGCATGGAGACCTGGAACTCCGTCCTCACGTTCACCCTCAAGGCTATCAACACCCGCTGCTCGATCCAGCGCAACGGCGAGCTCGAGGTCAAGAAGGACCAGGTCGGCGGCAAGGACATGCTTTCCAAGTGGGCGTCGGCCAAGCTCGGCGATCCCCTCAAGATCGGCACTCGGGATGTCATCGTGCACCTGAGCACCAACGTCTTTGCCGGTAAGCCAAGACTCCACCCCTTCCATTCCTTCCAGCACTGACATTTCCCCCAGGCTCCGACACCACGGCCATCGCTCTCCGCGCCATCGTGTACCTGCTCCTCAAGAACCCCTCGAAGATGGAGAAACTCCTCGCGCAAATCGACGCCGCCGACGCGGCCGGCCTTCTCAGCAACCCGGTCTCGTACAAAGAAACGCAAACGCACCTCCCGTACTTCGGCGCAGTAATGAAGGAAGCGATGCGAGTGCACCCTTCTGTCGGCCTTCTCCTCGAGCGCCACGTGCCCGCAGGCGGCGCCACGATCTGTGGCGAATTCATCCCTGGCGGCACGATCGTCGGCATCAACGCGTGGGTCCTGCACAACAACGCGCAGGTGTTCCCTAACCCGGAAAAGTTTGAGCCCGAGCGCTGGTTGGAGAGCTCCGACGAGAAGCTCACCGAGATGGAGAGGAGCTTTTTCGCCTTCGGAGCGGGGTCAAGGACTTGCATCGGCAAGAATATCTCGCTCATGGAAATGTCAAAGGTTGTCCCGCAGCTGCTGAGGGAGTTTAAGGTATCCCTGGCGGACCCCGGGAAGGAGTGGAAGACCAGGAATATGTGGTTCGTTCAGCAGAGCGGGCTGGTGTGTAACCTGGAGAGGCGCAAGTAGTGGGTGTCACGGTGTGATTTATTGATCGGTCGATGGAGCGTTGGGTTTTGTGATTGCGGGGGTTTTGTCGGTTTTATCTTTTTATGAGTTTCTTGTACATACATACCATTTCGAGCGGGCGGGCGGGCGGGGACGGGGACGGGGACTGCGGGGAGTCGGGAGGAGGAGGGGATCCTACATACGTACTTAGGTACCATACTTATGATACATACTATTGTCAATCCATGACACACCGCTCCGATCGTGATGGTCATCGTCGGCCTCATGCCTGCAAACCGCGGCACTAGTGTTCGACATAGTCCTGTCCGGAGTCCGGACTGCTAAGCTACAGTAAAGTCTAGTCCGAGGTTCAGGACAGACGAACAGCAGCTTGTACTACGATGTACCTACCTATCATACATATACCCACCGTATAATGTGCTGCGTGCGTGCGTGCGTGCGTGCGTGTGCCGGTAGGTATCACTCGACTCGACTCGGCTCGGTGCTGGATTTTGCCGTTCGGGGGCGAGCGTGCGAGACAGCATAGCATGGTTCATGCTGTGGGCGTTCGGCTGGGTAGAGTACTCTACATATAGGCCGCTGTGCTCGGTCCCGGGTGCATGGTCGCGCCCTGCACATACATAATCAGGTCGTGAATACCTACGCCTGCCATAGGTGATCCAGCCCAATAAATCAATACACTCTGTTTTTTTCCGCAGAAGCTTTTCGGGAATTCAAAAGATGCGTGAATCAAGACAAGAGCAGAGCAGGACTACCAGCCGCTACCTCTGCTCCACTGCCTGTCGCTACCTCTGCTCCACTGCCTGTCGCTACCTCTGCTCCACTGCCTGTCGCTACCTCTGCTCCACTGCATGTCGCCTGTCGCCACTGTTCCTGCAGCTTAGAAGGAGGGTACGCAGAGTTGCTGTTCCATTCGCAGTTGTGCTGGATAATGGTGCACATTCGGGAAGATCGCTGAGGAAAAGGGGAAGGCCCCCGGGGGGCTAAGGTTGAGGAAGGTTTATGCGTAGATTGTGTGTAGTTTGGATGTAGTTGTTTTCAATTAACGGCATGGTGTTCAGTGAATCTCTTTCCGCACCGTCGGTTTATATTTCCGGTGGAATACCCGTCCAGCGCGGTTAAGAAAATTTGTGAGCTCAGAAAAAAACTTTAAACTTTGTGGGTGGTCCAGCTCAGCCGGAGGATGTTTCTCAGCAGGCCAGCCCCAAGTTACCAAAACATTCTTTTTAAGCCAGCCCAGGGACTGAGATTTTTCTAGCAATTGTCGTTCCAGCAGATCAGGAATATTCATAGACGGGCTAGCCAACTAGTAGATGGACAGACCCATCTAAATGCTGGAAAATCTGCTGTGTAGGCTAGAACAGCTATCCCCTACATGTCTGGGGAGGGAGTATATATATGTATGTATGTGTAGCACTACAAAGGATGGCCGGCTAGGCCCTATTAGGAGGCGGCAGTGCGTCTACACTGCCACACCGCTAACGATTTCTATTAGTTTGGTTGCAGCTGTGCCAGTAGCAGTCACGGTTGCAACTATGACAGTCACCGTCGCTACCTTTGACCCACCGTACTTCAAACCTCCACGGTTCCAATACCAAAGAAATGAGCAACAGCTCTGATACAGAGGCTATCGCACTGGAACTCAAGTTACAAAAAGGCAGCTATGTTGCAGACAGGTCAGTTGCGAATACTACTACTCCAGTGGCAGGCTCTACTAGATAATACACCGAGGGCGGCGGCTGCGGCCGCTGTGACACCCCGATAAACTCTCGGGTGGTCACAGCAAGAGCGGTTCGTTTGGAAGCGATCCCAACACAGGAATCTATAGTCGTACCATAGAGACGAGTTAGGCAGGAATGGGCAAAACTCGATCCTGAGTTTAGACAGCAGTTAGCGATACGGGCAATGCAGGGTGAAGTTCGATACGGCCAATACGGCCTGAGGCAGTGCATCATGGAACCCCGTGGAAAGACACGCCGATCATGTAACCTGTTATGACGCGCGGTTACCAATGCATCGACAAATGGAAGCCTGTAAAACTGGGCCTGTTCTCAGTGCTGACATGAAAATATGTACTGCTTGATCTGAGCTACGCCCGGGTAGGAAGTGGTAATTTGTCACAGTTCAGAAATCCTGGCCTTGAGTGGGTACTGGGATGATGGCCTTCAGCCATCAAAATACCTTTTGGTCGAGTGGTATAGTACTTTCCCAGTGTACTTTATTACAGTTTGATGGCTGCCAAGGTCATGAGTTCAATTGCAACTGCGAGCAGTTACATTTCTCTGCTGCAGCGTTGTTCAGGAATTGCATGGCTTACAGTGAGTGACGGTTCATGATTCTTATCATGAATTATCACTCATTGGGGTTAACTACTTGAAGGCTTCCTGGAGTAAGGGCCTAAAAGAGGGGATACTGTCACAGTTCAAAAATCCTGGCCTTAAGTAGCTACTGGGATGATGGCCTTCAGCCATCAAAATACCTTTTGGCCGAGTGGTATAGTACTTTCCCAGTGTACTTTATTACAATCTGGCGGTGGTTACCCTGAGCAAGGTGATATTGTTGCTGTAGCATTCTCAATCAGGCAGAGGAGTTTGCGATCTCGATCGCCGCGCCGGCTGTGTGTGTGGTGTCACAGGTCAGAAATCCTGGCCTTAAATAGCTGCTGGGATGATGGCCTTCAGCCATCAAAATATCTTTTGGCCGGGTGGTATAGTACTTTCCCAGTGTACTTTATTACATGTGGCTGTGAGCGCAGCGTCCAGCGTCTGTGGGTATTCGAGACGGAGCATGTCGACGTTGGAGGATGACATAGCGGTTCTTGGTTGTGAGAACGGTGACTTATAACTCTTAAGATAACAGTGTGAAACTGGAACCGTGTCGTGACGTCAGAGTGTTGATAGATATCAAGTTTAGAATCAAAATCAAAGATTTTGATAATTCACAGCAGAATAATCTTAACCGGTATTGCCGGTAGTGTTCGTTGTTCCAGTGTGCTGGTATTGGGATTTCCGTCACGATAGTTGAGTGACTGTATAGTCTACCCATACACCAGGCACGTGATCGGAAAACTCTGTCGTGGGGAACTCCCTTGCAAACGCCCTTTGAATCATGTTCCGGCGTAAACGCTACGGATAGTCACTCACTGAGTCTAGGCCAGAGTGTCGCTGTAAGATGACATATGGATAGCAGTTCCGAGTAGGCAAGAAGTGCTTACTGTAAAGGCACGGTCGGGCAAGGCTGCAGGTAGCAAAGTCGGGCGGGTGATCGGGTACTGGGTACAGCAAAGGCAAGACAGGTTCAGAGGACAAGGCAAGGCAGGGCTCAGTACAGATAGCAACTGAGAATAGAGGCAGGGACAAGGACTACGGTGCAGATGGCAGCCGAGACGAGGACAGAGATAACAGTGATTGAATTAACAAGTTGTTGCGTGAAGAACTAAATACAGAGGGGCAACGGCCTGTTCATATAGAAATTCCTCCACTTCTCCCTGCAACCTGACAATGACCGTGGGTGTGTGCCAGACCCTGAGAAATTCACCTTGCCAGTACCCTGCTTCCGTGACTCATACCCTGTGTAACGGCACGGTTGGGCAAGGCTCCAGGTAGCGAAGCCGGGCTGGGGATCGGGTTCTGGGTTTGGCAGAGGCAAGACGGGTTCAGGGGCCAAGGTGAGGCAGGGCTCAGAGCAGACGGCAACTGTGAGACTGGAACGATTTCGGTCATCGGAGTCGATTGATAGAATGGGGTTTAGAATGAAAATAGATAGTATTCTTTTCACAAGTGGAATAATCTTAAGGGGTAGTGTCGATGATTTTCTGGTTGCTGATTCTGATGATGAATCTTTCGCCGTGTCGTTGGAAGTCTATATAGTTGGGTGATTTGGTCGGGTCACGTGCCAGCCGTTGCCGTAGCTTGTTGCCGGATGGAACCCTGGCGTGAAATCTCTGCACCTGGTGCGGAGACTTTCTCCGCCATGTCATCAGAGTCGTCGTAAGCCTTCAGGATAGTTTATACAAACTAGGCAGGTATGGCGCACCAATCCTTACCCGAGCATAGTCCGGTTTCAGCTATCTTTTCGCTGGGCAACGGCTGCGCCTTTCGGCACGGCTCTTATTTGCTTAAGACGCCAGAAGAGGGGCAACACTCGTCATAGTGGTTTTTCTCCGATCAGAGTTTTCTCTGCGCTTGTTCGCGATTCGCCTGCCTCAAGTCGAGCATGACTGTATCGGACTTTTCGTGCGTATCGCTGCGCCTCTGATCCCACCTAGACTCTAGTTCCGTTTGCTTCCTTCCTTCCTATCTCGTCTCCGACTAGCTACGACTAATCTAAAGGTGTTTCCTCCTGCTCCCCGATCTATCTAACTATTTTTCCCGAACTTCCGTTGGTAAGAAGCCGAACCCTGAAGTTGGGCCGACTGCGACCAGGGTGTCACAGCAACTGAGAACAGAGGCAGGGACAAGGACTACGGCGCAGACGGCAGCCGAGGCAAGGACAGAGGTAACAGAGGTTGAATTAACAAGTTGTTGCGTGAAGAACTAAATACAGAGGGGCAACGGCCCGTTTATATAGGAAATCCTCCACTTCTTCCCGCAACCTGACAATGACCGTGGGCGTCGTGTGCCAGACCCTGAGAATCCACCTTGCCAGTACCCCACTTCCGTGGCTCATACCCTACGCAGCCGCACTACCCCTGCTTCCTGCACACAGCCCCAATCTCCTGCGACTCATTACTGCGCTATCCCTGCTCCCTGCACACAGCTCCCAATCCTCTGTGACTCATCCTTGCACTGCCGGTGTAACAGCACGGTCGGGCAAGGCTCCAGATAGCGAAGTCGGGCGGGTGACCGGGGACTAGGCGGGGCTGAGACGAGGCGGGCTCAGAGGACGAGGCAGGGTAGGGCTCAGTGCAGACGGCAACTGAGAAACAAGGACAGAGACAAGGACTACGGCGCAGACAGCAGCCAAGGCAAGGACAGAGGTAACAGTTGTTGTATTAACAAGTTGTTGCGTGAAGAACTAATTACAGAGGGGCGTCGGCCCGTTTATATAGGAAATCCTCCACTTCTTCCCGCAACCTGACAATGACCGTGGGCGTGTGCCAGACCCTGAGAAATCC